TGACGAAAGGGGTCACTCTCAGCCCACAGTGGACGCAGTGTCGTGGGCGTGTCCGATTTCGATCACCAACCTCGAAAATTGAGCCAAGATGGCCAAACCTATTGAAGCACGTGGCGAATTTATTTCAGAAAATGATTCAAATGTTGAGACAAAGATGAATACAATATCGCCTGTTTGTCAGATATGCAGTGAACTACCCATCGTCATTCCCAAAATGACGGAAAGATAACGGGTATTGGGGGCCGACAATAATGAGCTGATTAAGATTCCTGGCTTACGTTCATGAATGAGCGGAGATACCAATTTCAATGGCAGAAAATGTAGGACAGAATAAAACTTGGTGTAAAGTCATGACTAAGTTCAACAATAAGCCAAGGGTGTGCTAGGGCCTCCGAGGGTAGGCAGACCAAAGTTAGGGCACTTTAGGAGGGGTGGGGTAGGATCGGGGAAAATTTGAGTTCTGTGGCACATGGTAGAAGCGATTTGACGTATATACCATGACATACCATACACTGACACTTGGTTAAGGGATTATGATTAAGTCACAAAGATCCGAACATGAACATAGTAACATAGTTAGCTGCAGTCAAGAACTGAACGACCTGTGAGTAAAGAAAAACAAGCATCAAAAGGGACTGGTATTCCTTATAAAGGGTACCTGCCAAGTTTCATTCGATTCTGTTCCCTAATGAGGGTAGGGGTAGGGAGGTAGAATTGACAGTAGACTGACAACCCCAAGAACGAGACGACGATCAAAATACACTTTAAGCCAGGCCAAGGAAGTTACTAGTGACAGATTAAATGTCATTCGTTGTGACGGTTTGCGTATTGGCCCTGAGTATGCTAACCGGCAATAATGGTTCCCGTCGCCCGTGTTGCAATTTTCCTAAATTCATTTAGTTAAATAAATAAAACTAAGACAAATTAGTTGATTTTGAATATTATGGAAATATTAATCCGTCTGTAAAATCTATTCTGAAAGTCATCCGTGGAAATCATGGTCTGATTGAGCTTGTATGGGGCCCTTACATCGTCAATGAAAAACGGACATTGTAGTATCTCTGGAGTTAGTTGGAACAAGGAAAAGGCAGCAGAAAAAGGGGGCACAATATTCGATGGCACATTTTCGGAAGAGAAGGCACATAGCCACCCCCGCTCCTTCCCATATACCTTGTTAGGAAATCTCATCGGATTCGAGCGTTATCAACCATTTCGAGTTTCTTTTATTTTTGAATTGATGAGGGCAGGGTAGGCGGTTGACTACCTAGCCAGCATGCCTCTGCAATTAGATTTTTTGCTTAGGTTACACAGAGTGAAGAACAATTTCTGTGCTAGATGTTTTATAGATAAGTTAGATGTGCAAGTAATTAATGAGTGTCATCTATTTAGGGACACCAGCCTCAATGCTGATTTATTAAATACAACTAGATTAATGTCAAGTCGTCATTTGTCCTGTCTTGGCTTGTCCAAAAAATAGGCATTGCGAGTTCTACTGTTTACTGTTGTAACAGCGGTCACCGATTATATATGTTGTAATGGACCGTCTGCTAGTCTTTCCTACAGACCACGTGAAAGACAACGGTCCGCAAAAATGAATTTTGGCACCGCGGACCCTTTAGACCTTGATACAGACTCCTCCACTTCATTAACCTTAAAACATTGACCAATAACTATGGGTTGTTCATTATTAAATGGTTCACAGCATATCTGACAAACAGGTGATACTGTATCCATCTGTGTCTGAACATCTGAATCATTTTGTGCCACGTGCTTCAAAAGGCACGACCCGCTTCCGCAGTGACCTGAGAGTGACCCCAGTCGACATACCCCTATGCCGCTACCGCAGTGAACTGGAAGACACTCCAAATGAAATTTAGTTGATACTGGATGAAAGTCATTGTATTAGGTCTAAGGTAGGAGTATCATTAATCTCCAATCCCTAATCGGAAATCTAAATCCCAAATTAGAATTTCTCCTATATTGACACAGGGAATCACTTAATCACTAAAATATGTACAAAAATAGATTCAGCTACCTCCAAAACATATTTTGACACCAAACTTATTCCTTATGTAAAATACGAATTTTCCCGCCAAAACTGACCACCATCTTGAATAACCCCTAATATTGACCCAGCGGTAACACGTATCACAAAAATATGTATGGAAATGGATTCAGTTACCCCGAAAACGTATATTTGGATACCAAACAACTCGATCATATTGTGATAATTGGGTGGAAATTGGAATTTACAAGCCAAAAGCGGTGGCCATTTTGGATTTTGGCCAATTTGACCCATTTGGGCACGGATTTCGGACTGGGACTTTTTTTTGGTCATCATATACGTCTAAACCGACAATAAACCGTGATCGGCATTTCTATTGCAGCAACTGCCCGCACTTTTGCTATCTTGCCTGGACTATGGTGTGTGGGAATCTTATCAATGACGCGAAGCAGTGTTTGACCCCCACGTATTGTCCACGTGTCGTAAGAATTTTTTAGAACAAAGCCACTTTACCTCTATTACAATCACACATAGTGTAAATGAGATTATTATGATATTCGAAAAACAAAGGGCAATCAGATATGAAGTACTTCTCCCCGAATCCACCAACAATTTGTAATAAATAAAAACAGCATATAAATTACGTAAATCCTAAACATGTCGGGAGAAAAATATTTTGGAATTTTGAATTTTATTCACCATACATCTTGATGACGGATTGGACATATTCCTGGTCGGACGTTTGGGAAATAGTGCAGGACATGTCCGGAATAATACTGTCGAAATAGCATCCCTGGGATAAATGTATTTGAACCCTATTTGCTGATTTCAAGTTTTCAACACTTTTTTTAAAATCCACAATAGGCCAATAGATAATGTAATATAAATATAGTGGGAACGGGGTATACTGCATTAACTGGAATACGTTTTAAATTCATGTTTCGTCAGTCACACAATAAATTAACCATATAAGGATTTTTTTAAAACAAAAAAAAATAGCATGTGGGAATGGTATATTAGTTATAGTAGACATCCAAAAGGAAAGATTAAAATTATTTAAAAAATTGCCATACGGCAATTTATCCCAGTTGGCTGGATTTTGTGTATTTGTTCCTTATGGGTTTTCTAGCTAATGTTACTCTTTTACCAACTATAAAGTTATTTCCATCAATTCCTGGAAAAATATTTATTGTTAACAACATATTTTTTTCAAGGAATTGATGGAAATAGCTTTATAATTGGTAAAAGAGTAACATTAGCTAGAAAACCCATAAGGAGCAAATACACAGAATCCAGCCAATTCATTTATTGTTAACATGTATCTTTTCAAATTAATATAGTGTTTCTTGTTATTTCTAATACAGTGCAGACGTGATAATTCATGTTTTATTTTCCACAATCACCGGGTTAGTATGTTGGTGTTCAACTATCTATATTTACACACCTTGGGATGTTATTCCCCATGCATGTATGTTATGAAACGAATTAACCTGTTGTGACGTCATCAGAGGGTGATATCCAAAGCTGTATATAGATACAGTGCTATCACCCTCTGACGACGTCACAGCAGGTTTACATAACACTGCAATGAAAAAGGACACAAATTCTGTCTTTTAACATTTTATTCACTTTTTTGTACAATGTTGCCAAACGATTCAAACGACGAACTTTGCCAGGCCGATGTTACTTATATCCTCATATCTTCCAGCATACACAGGATTTTTCGCTCACTATCGTGTTTATTATTCCACCACATTGATCAACTTTTTAAAAAATTCACAGCCTATGGATTTCTGCGTAAGGTATTTATGGGCACGGCATTGTTGGCACATTCACTGACGTCTTGTCACTCGAAATTGAAAGGCGTTTATCATTTGTGTCTTCCTCACAATCCGAAATAATTCTTTGTCAGAATCTACGTTTTCTATTTCAACCATATTTTCTACATAGGGGGGCCTACTGACTTGCTCGGATCAGTTCGTCGTCCGAATCGGTTGACAACATTGCACCAAATGATTGCCAGTTTGTGAACACGTGGTTACTAAAATGTAATGCACGTGTAACTTACGATTTGCTTTCTTAATTTTGTCATATCAGTCGCAGGACCGATATGGGCTTAACCATTATCTTATAGATGAAATCAATTAGGATAGATATAACATTGATGTCGGTGTGTAAGACAAATATTATCCTATAATCCTGTATGTGTAAAAAAAATTACACCCACCTGATTGGATTCTCTATTAGCTATTATTTACCAACAGTGAACTTATTTATACATAACGAACAACAGCAAATGTGGAATTGCAAATAGATCCATACCGTGCCTTAAACCAATCAATGCTTTGAATTGTATTACCATATAAGGCCCCATGCCATATACAGCAATTATGAGCATTTCACTTTCAGTATTTATTAAAGCGAGAATTTCACTATTATACTATCATAGGTATCATTCTCACACTTAAAAATCATTCAACCCGGAAATAATAACACAATTACCTCCCTTGTTTTTCTACCCCGCCCCCCCCCCCCCAATGGAATAGCTATCTTTAAACGTTTGAATTTGAAGTTGAAAATGATATTTTTGCCAATTTCTCAACTGGCAATAGTGAATTATAGGATTAATATGATTATTCTTTAACAAGGTAGGACTGTTTATAGATACCATCTATTTGAAGGCTTTATTTTAATACATTTTAAAAATATGAAAATATCGCTTTAAAGAATTTGAACTTTCAGCAGGTATATGAATTAACTATGGAAAATATCAAGTAGGTGTACCTATGTTTCGTTATATTTTGTGGTAATTATAAATATTAACCTACTAGTATTCAGAATATGATAGGCCTATACTAATCAACAAATTATCAAGAAATATTTTTTTGTTGAATATTTAAGAGAATGAAAGCTTACCGATCCTATTTCATAACTTTAAGTGTTCCAAATTCTGGACGGTTTGTTTTAAAAAGGATAAAGAACTCCGCATATTTACCTTTCTAGTTTCCATATCACCGTCTTCTTCAATAATTCTAATAAACTCCATTTCTTTATCTCCTGCTTCTTTCGCTTTTTCTTCGAAATCGTCGTCCTCGTCTTCGTAATTATTATATTGAAAACCATACAACTTATTTCTTCGTCTTCTCCTCTCTAACTCGGCCAGATCTTCTTCTATATCACGCTTACCAACAGACATGGATCCTGATGTGGATTTGTCATAAACAAACACAAATGACATACTCTTTTCACTTTCTGTGCCATCATTGTGATAAAGAGCAAGGTATGAATTGTCTTCATCTTGTTGTTTATGTTCTTTTTGTTGTTTAGAAAGGTCATCACGAATGTCGCCTATGGCTGGTTTATTAGATGCTATATTCTCTGCTTCTAATGTCTCAACACCATTGTTATTTACATTAGCACTAGACAAATCTGAGAATACAATTCAAATATAATATTATGTCAGGGTCATAAAATGTAAGTCAGTCGGCAATCTCTATGGGCTGTATGCAGATATTCTATATTTTCAAATTGAATCGGAAATTTAGGATACGACACAAATGGGGGAAAAGTCCCCTTGTTCCGAGATATTCGTTTAATGTAAATTCAAATACAAATTGCAAGTTGCTGCCAAAAATTCAATTTTATATAATTAAACATAATTGTATTCATATTATTAGGCAAATGTAATAACTGTGAAATCACTTTATAATATCTTGCCTGATGAATCTTGGGATATTCCTGACAATCTGCCACTAAATCTTGATCTATAACCATGTGATGAATTTGACACAGATGGTGGCCGCGGGATAAGTTTACCTATATGTAATAATCAAAAATATAAAATATTATAATTTCACACTTTTTAAATTCTTTTTCTTATATTTATTTTCCATGTTCAAATATTTAAAATGACAGAATCATTTTATTCTACAGATTAGAGATAAACAGTGAAGAGAATTGTAATCTACAGGTAAATATTTTAAAAGATAGCCGCACAAAGAATGAGTATACGCCCACATAGAAGCTATGTCGCAAGCTTCTTATCCAAAAGGAAAAATTGGATGTTGACCAAATTTGATAAGGATTTAGGATCCTTCAAGAAATCTAATCTCTATCTCTATTCACAAGCTTTTCAGGTCAAATAATATCACTGTAACAGAAAGGTCTAGATTGCAGAAAATGTTAAAATCTGCAGTCCCTTAACACGCTAACAAGATTATCAGAAGGAACGAGGTAAGTCAGAATGGCAAACTTCAAAATGTAGAATCTAAGAAAGCTGAAAATCGATAGGGATGATCGTATGGGGGCGATGCTTCACATTAAACGTGAAGGAAGTGCTGAAAATCGACTGGGGGGTCATCTCCTCATGACCCCAATGCTTCACACCAAATTTGAAAAAAATAATCTGTAAAAAACTGAACCCTCTAACCAATTAACAAGGTTTTTGGACAAGGGGGGGTATCTCCGTAATGGAAGGTTGTGGAGCGTTGAAAATCGATAGGTTTCTTCTTCTCCTGACCCAAACTCGATCCTTTATCGTGTTAACAAGGATTACTAGATACAACCAATCAATACAACCGTGGGATCCAACGGTGCATTTATAGTGAATTCTTTCATGAAAATATCCACCAGATACTTGTTATTGACATGTACATTTGTTAAACGTTGTTGCAGTAAATAAACTTTGAGTTTGGCATTGCGTTTTTAATGGCTTTGAGTGCATTTGTATTGAGTCCGTTTCTACAATAAACACGTAAGACCACGGACCGCATGGTTATCTTTGCTATGATTGGTCATTAGAAAGGAACTAGTATACTCTTCAAAAAAAGTAGGGGATATTCAGAAACAATACAAAACTGCGGAAATGCACTGCTGTTTTTATTAGAGGTAACCAGTGTATGTTAATAACAGGCCAATTGCCTACAATAAACACGTAAGACCGCGGACCGCATGGTTTATCTTTGCTATGATTGGTCATTAGAAAGGAACTAGTATACTCTTCAAAAAAAGTAGGGTATATTCAGAAACAATACAAAACTGCGGAAATGCACTGCTGTTTTTATTAGAGGTAACCAGTGTATGTTAATAACAGGCCAATTGCCTACACATGCACATAAACAATTCATATCTGACGGCCCCTTTTCACTCGCAAAGAGATACACTTTCAAAAGTGAAAATGGACGTTTTTGATTTTTGTCTTAATAATGAGTAATTGCTCCACCAATCCTCAGACATTCAGCAATTCGTCGTGGCATGCTCCTAATCAACCGTCCAATCACGATTTAGGGCAATCTGACCCACTCCTCTTGCAGTGCCACGGCCAATTCTTGCAGTGTTGTTGGTTGACGTTGACGCCGATCAAATTAAACGTAACACACTAAAGCAAAGATACGCTAAACAGTAAATCTTATAACCCTTTCTTGAAGTGTCAAATTTGACACTGAACCCCTCCCACGTGTATGGCGCTATTGCGTGTCGCATGTGCAGCTCAGTGGTTCTGTTGGGGCGATAAGTTCTTCATCTGTGAACATACTCTCAAAGCATGTCAAGTGTCCATGATTATTTATCATATCACAACCTGCATAAGTATTTGCATTTCAATATCCCCTACTTTTTTTGAAGAGTATATATATATATTTAAAACATGAAAGAGAAAATCAGGATATATACAATTGAAATTTTCGATAAAAATTTGTCTCTTTTAAAAAATCTAGCGCTTTACAATATAGACCCGGTTGGGCAAACAACTGATGTAGTGACTGGCGACGGTAATACCGTGATCTTGTATGTTTGAGATGTTTGCACTTAATCAAAATGTGCTTAACTGTCAAGGGAACATGACAGTGTTGACATTCTGATTGAGGCTCCCGCTTTAAGATGAAAATGTGTGTTAAAAAGGTATGACCAAGACGAGAGCGCGACACAAAACAACTTCATCTTTCCGCTTGGACCATTAGGAGCTTGGCCAATCGCCAAGGGGAGGCTTTATGTGATGCAGTTTGTTTGTGCCTGCAAGATCCCAAAATCACCATATTTAGACCTTAGCTCTCTAAAGAGCGACTGAAACACCGTAGAGCTAGTACCCCTCTTTTTATGTTGAGGAAGATCGAAATCGATCTTTGGGGGAGATATAGCCCACGGTGGAGTCCTAAAGAAAGGGGTATTCATAATACTGTCAAGGCTGATACCAGCCTCCGACGAAAGGTGATGTATGCGAATACCGAATGATGGAATGACGTTAGTTTTAACCAGATATAAGTGCTCATGATATGGTCTAAATATGGTGTTAAATGAAATATGATTTGTCAAAGATGCTATTTTCGTAGCATACTGCAGGGACAGTTTATCACGTTTGTCGTGCAATGAAGGCTCACGTGCCTCGACGTATAAACTGTCCAAACTGTACAAACAGGGGGATAAATGATAATTTCTTGTCAAATATCAGCCCCAGAAATTTGGTTTCATCCACAACTGGAAGGCGATTGCCATCCAAGAACAATTCTGGATCAGGATGCAAACCTCGTTTCTGACAGAAATGCATGCAGACAATCTTGGATTTCGAAAAACGAAATCCATTTTCGGTTGCCTATTGTTTAAGTGAATTCAAACAAAGCTGCAACTTACGTTCGATTATCCGCATGTCTGTAGAACCATAGCACATCTGAAAGTCATCAACATAAAGAGCGCCGTTTGTACCTGGTTTAAGGCACGCTGGGTATTGTATTAATTTTAATCGCAAAAAGAGTTCGTGATAAAATGCTTCCTGGGAAACTCCCATTTCCTGAGGAAATGGGTCAGAGAATATTGATCCCAATCGTACCTTAAATGACCTATCTTCCATGAAATTTTTAATAAAGACAGGTAAGCGACCTCGTAGACCGAGGTTATGGAGGTCGCGCATGATACCATGTTTCCACATGGTATCATATGCTTTCTCCAGATCAAAAAATATTGCAACTAAATGTTGCATCGGGATGAAAGCATCTCTGGTGAACGTTTCAAATCGAACGAGATGACCAAGAGTGCTCCTTTGGGACCGAACTCGACACTGGAGGTGGTCAGTAATAAGGTTGTCAGTAATAAGTTGCCAAACAAGCCTTCGGTTGATCAATTTCTCCATGGTTTTGCAAATACAACTATTTGAAACGATCGTGCGATAATTGATAGGATTAGTAGGATCTTTACCAGGTTTAGGGATAGGTATTATTGTGGCCCCATGCCACTAAGGAGGGAATTTCCCATCAACCCAAATCGGGTTAAAGAGATCCAATAATAAGAGTGTTGGAAAAGGTAAATGTTTTAAAATCTGGTAGTGAATTTCATCTGGAGCAGTTGCAGTGTCCTGAGCCCGCTTTAGCGAATTACGAAGCTCTGTAATGGAATAATGATCATTGTAGCATTCATCATTGCGGGACTTGAAATTAAGCCGCCCTTTCTCCTGCTGCGCTTTAATGCCCCGAGAGGCACCAGAGGAGAAATTGGATGATGAATTGAATGAAAAATGTACTAGCAAGAGAATTAGCAATATCATGAAATGTTGTTAAGGTGGAATTATCAACATTCAGATGTTTTCTTTTTGTTTTTTTTAAACAAAATTTATATTCAGACTGTCTGAATGGGATTGGGGAACAGGCTTAGCCTATGTAAAACCCCTCTTCCTAAATAATTTGTATATAATATATATCATTAATCCAAAAGGTGTGTATATACATAGTTATAATAGCAAACACATACATATTATATAAGTATAATAAAATATAATGGGTGAAAATGTACAGTATATATAGTAGTTAATAATTATACATATACAACCATAGTAAGAAATTTTAATAATAGGCAACATTAGAGAGACTAACCAAAATTATATATAAAATAGACGATAAACTATTAATTGATCGAGTTTAAAATCTGTTTGACATATCTATAAACTTATGGATCTGGTTAAAAATATTAGTGTTAACGTCAATACTGTAGGTTGTGGAACAGAATAAAAGACAGTTTTAAAATCATGTTGTATTTTGTCTATGGTTTCTGTTCGTGCTTTTGAATGTAAGGAACATTCCAGAAGGTGATCGTCAGGATCTTCAAATATATGATCGCAGAGGCATGCGGGACTGTCGGTAACATGTCTTAGAGCATCGAAAGTCGTAATTTGCAAAGAATTATTTGAGGTTTCTGCTGACCGTTATAATAAAACGAAGGAACTTTAATATCTAGAATTCCTTGCAGGGGTACTGAGTTTATTCCACTCTCTTATGCTGGATGGGATAAATGATTTAGCAAAAATGTCAGTACGGCATCGAATTTCTTTTAAATTGTCTTCATTACGAAGGGAATATTTGTTTGTGGGTTCAAGATTTATGAGATTCTTAAGATAAGGAGGGGTTAGGTTATTGATGATTTTGTAAAGTAGTTTTAATTTATGTC